TATTGTATGTTTCAGTCGCCCGATATGTCCACCTCAAGTACTCACTAGTATATATACATGAGTTATCAGTTATCGCAATGAATCCCAAATATGAAATCATACTTTACATACAATCATGCTATAAGTAAGCAGAGAACGGTACATAATAAATTACCAATAATTAAGAAGTAATAGATCGTATAACAATAGTTAATAAGTCTTAAAGAAGCCTACAATACTGAGAATATACAAATACAATAATCCGATTGTTTAATAAAATTATACATAAATAATAAGTAATAATAACAATGTGAAAAATAGTCCCAAACATCCAAATGTCCTCAACATTTCCCCTACTATAAAACATCTCAAATAGTAACGATAACAAGCATATTTTAAGTGTATACTGAATAAATACAAGTTATTATGAAAACTAGGGAAAAACAATTATATTTCAAACTTCATTTTAATATCAATAAAATGTTAAGTGTTCACTGAGAAGACGTCTGAACGACAGTTAAAGTGAGACAGATTTTCCATGCAGAACTATCTCAAGATTAGTAGTTTTTTTGTATCAAACTACTATATCTTCAGATAATTTTCTTCTGGAAGTACTTGATGTTGTTTAGAAGAACAATCAAAGGTTCAGAACTAAACGATCCAGCTTAAAGACTACAACACTTCCAATTTTCATCATTAACCAACTTCAGTTAAATAAGTACTAAGAGATCAAGGAGTACGAGATAGCTGTATAGTACTGGTTTAGGTCTTTCAAAGACTGGAAACCAGAAGATTAGAATTTTAACTATACTTACTTGATATTAGTTTTTGATGAAACTTATCTTCAGATTGGATAACCATCCATAAATTAGCTAAGTAGCTTAAAGCAGGATATATATATAACATTTTGACGATAATCACATAATACAACGAATATTATATAAATACAGAGTTAAAACAACTAGACATTAGGTTGAATTAAGTTGCGTACTTATATCAATCTTTCTATAAATTATTGTCCAGCTATGTGTATAATGTTATATTCAAAAAGCTTTATTTTGATAGCCTATACAAAACTGAATTCTTATTAGTGAATTATGGGTTCATTTTATTTGACCTAGATAATCAGATGATAAATGTGGTTTGAAAACCAATTGTTTATTCAAATATCAAGAATTAGAGAATAAAAGTACTAATCATATTGTCCTATCAAAAAAGTTATTTATTTACAGCACCCATTAATGTGTTACACAAAATGGAAATATTGTGAAAAAATCATGATAGAAATCATTAAGAAAAATCAACACTATCAAGTAGTAAGAGATGCAATTCGAACAAGAACACAACTAGCATATATTTCACTAAGTTAGAAGGTGGGTATTACAGTATATGAAGAGTACAATCGAAAACTGTAGCACAATAGTTATTAACATTTATTTCGAATCATGCCTGTTAACTTTTTAATTTATTGAGTTACGCTGTCTTCAGGACTCCAGTCAGTAATTTATGACGGACAATTGAATGCTGAACTAACAAAAATATTTTTATTTATTTACAAGCTACCATAAATTAACTAACTCTTCGAGCATCAAGAAAATAATATGAAGTAGGATGATATTTTCATTTAACAGGTCTGTTAAAGATGCTAAATTACTATATACATTAAGAAAGAACTGTTTTTGAATTTACATATTAGTTAAAAGTGAAGCCTGCTTAGTACGTCTCAATGCATTCTAATTGCATTAATCCCTTCTTTAAGAAGTTGGTTTATTGAATTTCACAACATTTCATTGTATTAATTAACTTTTTTTTATTTTACCATATGAGTGATAACTGCTTAGTTCATAATCGTTAAAATTAATTGATATATTATTGAATCAAAGTGAATATAAATTCACTTTTGCTGTTTCTTATGGTACATTTTTCTTAATAAGATTTGTCTTTTAGAGTAGCTAGGGTTAGAACAGAATACAGCTGTTGTGTAAGAGTATTGATGTTGTGGTTAGAGTTATTAACAACTATTAAATAGAACTTGAGATTGAAATGTATCTTAAATTGTACTTCCAGATTATATCAGTATTTAGAAACAACCATAGGTGCTTAAGTTAACTGGGTTTTTATTCGCGAGCAATAATAATAATAATATAGTCTAGCATCTGAGTTACTACGTCTGACAAACTGATTCATATTAGTAGCGGGTTAAAAGCACAGGACCACAAAATTTTACACGATTGGATGATCTCCAAAAACACCTTAGGTGTTTATCAATTCTTTCATCAATGAAAGCTAGTAATATTATTACATGATTCATTGTCCTCTTCTCATACATTTAGCATATTTCGTCACCATAGTTACGTAACACCTTTGTTTATAAGATAAACATATGCAAAGCGTTAATAACTGGCCTACAATATTTTCATTGTTGCTCACATAACTAAGTCACTAAAGGAACTTTAATTTAGTTTTTAGTAGTTTGAGCTATCACGTTGTTGATATTTTGACTGATATCAAATCAGTCTTAATTAAGATATGTGCACTCTGTGTGACTTACATAGAAAAAAAAATTATGACCAAAGTTTACATATAACAAATGGAGTATGGGGAGCAGTGGAATCGATAACACTCGTTTCGTCCTATTTGGGATCATCGGTTGAATGTACATGCATCCCAGAGTTGATGTTCACTCCGGGACTCGAACCCATTATTGCTCACTTTAAATGTCAATACTCTATCCATATAGCTACTGACTCCAGCAAGTCACTCACTTATACAACGATTATGGATATTAATTTAACGCCGACACAGATGCATCCAGTTGACGAGTTCAAAACAGGACGAAACGAGTCTTGTATCCCACGACTAGCTACATTCCGTCTGTTCTATTGAAGGAAATTGTTGTAAACCCTTCTTGTGTGGTGTAAAATCGTTCCATTATTACTCAAACTTTTATACTAAAAACTATCTACAATAATACTTTCCAAGCCCTTCATCAGCTATATATAAGAAAGGGTTGAATGAAGTGGTATGTCAAATACGTAGCTTCATTATAATGTTTTAAATGACTAAATACTACATTCAACTGATTAATGAAGCCGATGAAAATTATACCAGCTGAATAAAATATAAGGCCGCTCTTACTAATAAGTCTAGAGATTAAGCGTTCGCGGGCCAGACCGAAGGCCCTGGGTTCGAATTCGGCGAATGGGATCGTGGATGCGCACTGCTGGGGAGTCCCAGAACAGGACGGAACGGCCGCCCAGTGCTTCCAGGCTCTCAATGGTGGTCTAACACTAATCGGTTCATGTTCTCAATCAGAAACTTAATAATCTCCACAACCCTATCCTGATAATCCCAATTTTTACAGAAAAGGAAGAGTAAAACTGGATTTTAGCGGTGATCCAAATAAAAAACAATTAAGAAACTAGTAAATTACCCTTTCCTTATGCTTTATAGTTAGTGAGGAAATTTATCTAATAATCACCCATGATGCAAATTCATTGTGTTTACGTGAATTTCAATTGTACCGTTTGATAAGTACTTGCATGTTACTTTCTGGAAATCTACTCGTTGGATTCACAAATGATTAAACTGATCCTTAACCTGGAAAATACAGAAGCCGTAATAAAATTTCCGAAGACCGTTGGGAATTTTATTACTTTATTTTCAAGAATAGGATTCGCTTGTCTACTGACGAAGTTTTCTGGAAGCTGATGTCGAAGGTCTGTAACGGAGTGACAGTTAAACAAAACCACCGAGTTCTAGAGCTTTTGCTGTATCACTTTAAGGACTAACTAGCTGATTCCGATGAGCTATCGACAATTACACGATCTTCGATTAAGTAGCAAACACCTATTAATATGACTCAGTCCAGTTATCAACGACTTCATGGACCGGTACGATGTTTTGATTTGGCCGCCTCTAGCTTACTTCCAATCCACTTCTAAACTAAACAACACCCATCAAGGTAGGCAGTGAGCGGGCATACATGGCACATGTTCTAATCAGTCTAGTTAGTGAAGATTCACTAGCCAATCAATCGGTTCGCCATCTTTACTCCTTACCCTATCCCTGACCTACGAATTACTTACTCGGTGGTCTCAAAATACACAAGCAATGCTGTGAAGACACATATGACCAAATACTAGTAACTTACAAATACCTATTTCTTAGTAACCATGTTTCATACCCATAAAGAGAGAGAACTGCTGCACATTTAGCTCGTCCTTCGGTTGGCAGATGGATATATCGCCTACGCCACAATGGCAAAAATAAGGACAGGAAAGTTGGACAACCCTAGAAGACGCCGCTGGAGGTTAATAATTCTGATGACAGTTCGCACTGAGCCCTGATATTCATTCGATATTTTCCCGAAATAGTTTCATTAAAAGATGGGTTTTTAATACCTCTTTCATTGATAAGTCTGAATAGTCGTCTACCATTACTTGCTGTTGTTGCCTTTTCTATATATTATCTTCATCGAGAGAAAAACTGGTGTACAAACTATCGGACTCCTACAACGACACGTCAAGGAAAAAGATATATGTACATATTTCCGGTGAGCAGTTCCCCTAAGGAGATTTGAGTCACATCTTAACTTTCTATCACCGTCGGTTTGAAAACACGTGTCTATGAAATATACTCTATATTTATACTGTTCAAATAACGAATTCGACTCAACAAGTATAACTAATAATTTAAACATGAATCGTGACTAAGCGACAGTTTTTAATGCTCAAATCAACTTCCCAAAATGAAAACAAAAACAAAACTAATAAATGAAGAACGGGGAAATCCAGAAAGTTCTTGGGAAAGAAAGAGTGATTTGCCATAAGTAAGAGCAGATAAGACCATCCAGACTCCTGAGCATAAGTATGGTTGGGCATGTGATCAAGTAGTTGGAAGTCAACTTTTTACACTACAGAGTGACACCATATTACGCCACCCACAAATAAGCACTTAATTGAGAAACACATTTTATTTTGTAATACAATCATGCCGTGTAGGGAAGAGAAAAAACTTTTGACAAAATCTATATATTTGTGATCAAATTTATACAGAAATATATAAGTAAATCTCTCGACCAGAATGGTTAAGGTATACTTCAAGAAGGAAAAGTGAAATCATACATATACATGTAGGCAATGAATGCTTCAGTCCACTATAATATATTTTAAAAAATGAAAGACAAATGGAGCAGTGGTGTTTTGATCTGCAAAATGATAACTGGAAGTAATCTAGTCAATATAATTAGTCCAATTATTCACGTCATATTTATGTATACTAGCACTTGGAGAGGTAAGATAAAATGAAATATGTATACAAATTATCATAAAGAATCAGTTTTTCAACAAATACAGACTTTACATGATAAAATATATAGTCCAAATAAAGGCTTTGTAAGGTAAATAAAACAATAAATTTCCTGAATGAGTAGGTACTGGTTACATATATACACAAAACAATAATCAATTCATAAATTTATACAAAGACACATGAATATACAAACATGTTATGTAATGCACTAGAGCTTTTATAAATGCACCATTAAAACGACGCTCTTTTGCTGTGTTTACTTGAGGTTTGGCACAATTTAGTAGCATGATTGAGGCTAGAGAGGCAAATATTTATGGAATTAGAGTCGGTGTAGTGATCTTTGAAAGAAGTATTAGGACGTTTTGGCTGTAGTCGCTCAAGATGTGGCATCGGCGTCCCCCACCAAGCTGAACATGCTTCTGTAAAAACAAACTGCAAATACATACACTGACTTCGCGTGGGAAATGAATATAGAAATGCTACTTCACGCAGACTATGAGATGGTTCTAAACATTCTCCATCGAGGTATAAATCTACAATTTGCCTGGTAGGATCAAGTTGATATTTGGATAGCAATAGATGATGGAGGTTAGCGACAGTTACTACAGCCGGACATAAAAGATATATTGAGTTAGAATACTGTTCATTAGAAAGTGGTGAAGGGGGTTGGGAACGACTAGATTCACTTTTTGAAGCTAATTTGAAACTGTCGTGACGTTTACAAATTACCGATTCAGATATCTTTGAATATGACGGAAAACTTGTTAAATGTATTAGAGCCAAACTCACAAATTCATCATCTGCTACTAGAAATGCGGCAGAATTTGGTAAACGGTTGGAAACAAGCATTTGAGTTGCATGAGTTGAAGAAACAAGTCCACATGGACTTTTAGAAAGCGATCGAGTTGCAAGTGCAGTTGGAAGGGGTGAAGAACAAAGATCTGTAGAAAGAAATTTATTCGAAACTACGCAGTTACTAAAGTTATACCTAATTTGCGATAAAACAGTAAAAGAAAATCCGACGCCATAAAAAATCTACATTGACCCAAATCCAGAAACAGACACGTGAAGAATAAGAGCGGCAATAAAATGAAAAAAACACTAGGTATTAGAGCGAAGACAAAACCAACGTCTAAGTAAAGAGTGGATACAATTGTGTAAACAATTAAAGTTTTATATAGAGTATTTATTAACTAGATTCCGTCACACCAAGGGTTTAGCTAAACTAGTGATACTACAAGGTTATCTAGACGAAGTAGGTGAGGTGAAGTTGTAAGTTGAAACGTATTAGTTGAAAGCAAAGTGCACCAAAAACTAAGCCATAACCCAACGAAAAAATCCTAGTTGACAGCTATTAAAAATAGACTATATAACAATAGATATCCACCTAGATTTATTAAGAAAAATCTGACACCAAAAAATACATGTCCATAGCACCAGAGAAGACTCTATGAGCATTTAGTTTAAGAGATACTGAAGCAGAAATTCTGAAAGCATACTTCTGAGATTTTTGAGAACAACATTCTATTCGAATGAACTTCGTATTGTATTTACTGGTCGACCTGCGGTTTGTAGCTGCTTGGAAGATACGCTTCCACTTTGCGTTAAATTAATGTCTTCATTTATTTATTTTAACACATAAATATTGGTACACGGATACACCAAATACATATGCGCCATACAAATCTCATTCGATATGTGTGAGGGCTGCGATACCGCCCGGGTGCCCAAACCGAAGCAGCTGGTTGTCTTATGGGGGCCATTCCCCGAGCCTTCGACCTGAAGGTCTGATCCATAGGGCAGTGGAGCATCGTAAGGAGATGCAATCCCATAGAAGCCGGTGACCAACAATTGGTTCATACGCCATTTGTTCCCGCAGGATACTGGAGCCCATGTGCACCATTGGTTTGGAATCCGGCTTTTCGTCCTCTCAATTTCGTAAACAAGAGTGATGCCGCGAGAAGGCAATGAGTAGGACTTACCTGGCAGAGGTTATATACGCGTGGCCATGTGACAGCATTTCAAGAGGGAGAGCCGACTCTCCCCACTCTCGGCAGTACCAGGGCATTTGGGGGGTCTATCAGTTTACTTGTTCATGTGAAAGAGGTTATATTGGCTTCACAAAGCGAGCTCATTCGAAGCGCATCTTTAAGCATTACTCTACCTTTCTAAAGGACTACAGAAGTCAGTCGAAAGCCCAATCCTGAAACATCTAATTAATTCTAATCACTTTGGTTTACCAGATGCTTCCTTCAAAATCATTCATACAGTTGAGAGTCGACTTAAGATGAATGCAAGTTAAAAACTTATTTACAGTGGAGGCTATAGCTGTCCACCAGTTGAAGTCTAACCTTTGTGTACAAAAGCAGTATGTCTAGCCCCTTATCTTTTCATGGTCTTAACCTTCCTTCCTATCTTTCCTTATGTAGCATTTTTCTCTTCCTTTCTAATCATTTCCATAACTATTAATTATAATCATTATTACAATTTTTAATTATTCTGTTCTTAACAGCTAAGAAGTAGACAATTGTCTTCAGTTTAACATTTTTCACTAATTGACTGTTATACAACTTCCCCTCAATACCTGATTTTCGTGAACAGTTCATGACAAGATATAGCTACAAGCTCTCTGATAATTCAGCACCATTCTATCTACTAGACTTGCTTTTAGTAAACAAAGTGAACTGTGAATACGACTGTACATGTTCTGTAAATGAAATCGTAGAAAAGAAATCTCTCTCAGCCACATACTTTGCCCCCAAATGCCCTGGTACGGCCGAGAGTGGGGAAAGTCTGCTCTCCCTCTTGAAATGCTCTCACATGGCCACGCGTATATAGCCTCTGCCAGGGAAGTCCTACTCACTGCCTTCTCGTGGCGGGGGTGTTATTTACAAAAATGAGAGGACGAAAAGCGAATGTCCGGCGCTTTAACCGGATTCCAAACCAATGGTGCACATGGGCTCCAGTATCCTGCGGGAACAAATGGCGTATGAACCAATCGTTGGTCACCGGCTACCACGGGACTGCATCTCCTTACGATGCTCCACTGCCTTGTGGATCAGACATCTAGGTCAAAGGCTCGGGGAGTGGCCCCCTAAGAAAACCACCTGCTTCGGTTTGGGCACCCGGGCAGTATCACAGCCCTCGCACATATCGAATAAGATTTGTGTGGCGCATATGTATTTGGTGCCTTCTTGTACCAATATCCATGTGTTAAAATAAATAAATAAATAAAATGATATAATTTTCATACGCCCGGTTGCTAGACGGAAATAATAGAATGGATGATCGTAGAAATCTCAAATACAACCAAAGGTTGAAGAAGTACAAGAAGCTTTTGGTAACCCTGTAGTGTTATGGGATCTCTGTTCAACAATTCATAGGATGCACCTACTACAAATAACCATTTTAATCTGATTAAGAGGTTTGCTTTAAAACGTCTATATTTCACACCCGACAATAAAATATGATTATGCCTTCTCGATTGAGTAAATTTAGTATTTCGCAATTAGGATTCTCTTGAAGATCTTAATTTATGGTATACCTATCGATGAATACAGATAATTGACAAGCAACTAAAATATTTTTCAAAGTTTAATTTGATAACGGTGCAGCCTAGCAAAGAAAAAAGGATCGTCCAATATTTGCCACAAACGTAATATTACAGTACCGAGTTCTACGCATCATTATTGACAGCTTCCATACATTTAACAAATGAGTAACTGAGACCAAATGCTACCTAAGATGTGAGCGATCGTCACTTCCTGAATTCCCACACCATGTAACAATACTTCTTCTTAAAGGACCTACGTATTTTAAGGGTAACTGCCTGAGACCAGTCATATGGGTTTTTTGCAATTTTTGATGTTGGATGGATACCTCTCAGACCTTACTGTCTACGAAAAAATCTATCACGTGGGGCAAAATATACTATATTTAATGACGGTCCTTACTAAACCTCTTCTCTGTGAGAATGCAGCGTCGTCGCAGATGTTGGTTGTCAGAGAAATCTTACTGCCACCACATAATGAGAGTCAGAAACACGAAGTTGTTCTCAAGCCTTGTTTGTTGACCTTAGTCATATGGGACACCGATCAAATCGTCTAAATTAGCAGGATCTTAAAGAACTAAAGTGTCAGCCGTTACTAGATGGTTAGGTTGTCACAATAAGCAAACTTGGCTACATCACATTAGTAGCGACAGTGAAAAAGGACTGTTAGACGAGTAGTGCTCGCATCTATCAAGTATGGACCTCCCGGATTCTAGCGTGAATGACTAGTTAAAACGACAATCCTGGACATGTGATATTACCAAATGTACCCAAGAGAAGAAAACAGATGTAACAATTTAGATCATACTTGAATCCTTGAAGTCACCCGACAAATGACCGCTTCATAGCAATTTAATGTAACACAATAATCGCCACGCTTATACTGTAGGTCAACTCTCCAGCGGCGTGCGGTGGACGAGTGATAATTAATATTACAGAGGGTTTTTGTTTCCATGACTTGTGAACAAACAAAATGACGCATACGGTCACTTACAAGACGAATGTAAAATGGCTCTATCGCTATTTGAGGACTCGGTAGTAACAAAATAAAGCCGAAAAATGGAAGCAACAAAAAGTGAATGAGGTATGATTAGTTTTCTTACCTGAAATGCTATAACTAGCAGTACTACTCGGAATGCAGTTTTTGGGGAGAATTTCCTTGGTGCAAACCATTTTGTCTGTGCAGGACAACTCTTTTAAATACAATTCTTTGAATTCCGAGATTCTTTTCATCTCAGTCTTCAGTAAACCCGGGACTAATTTATATACAATCCGCTGTAAAGCGACATCGGGACGGAGGGCTTGGCCAGGTCTGGTTTCTTGTATCAGACTTTGACATAATGGACAAATTTTGTGCTCCAATAAATACTTGAGTATGCAGCTTCTGCAGAAGACATGGATACATTCTGTAAGAACAGTCGCATCTATTAGATAACCACCACACAGTCCACAAATCAGGTGCCCATTAATGGAGGAGAGTTTAACTCCAGGATATGAACTTGTCATTGATAATATCCAATTCCATGCAGATGTCTGTCAAACATCGGTAAACACAAACAAAACATCCAAAGAAGTTATTGTGGACGGCTTGCAGCGCACCTAATGTTCAAGTTTGAAACTGTGCGGCTACAATATTCAAATGCACGATATTAAACGATTGCAAGAAATGAACTCTTAAATATGGAGCTTTGGATCCTTGCTCTGATTATCCGACAAGCATTGATCAGTGAGCGTATGGGAACCATCCATATCTACTCCTATTATCATGCTGTTTCGACTTCAACGTTTCCGTTTGTCATATGAACGGTTAAATATAATCTCACACATGCTGCTATTCTTTGAAGCAGAGTTAAAACAAAGAACCGGGATTTCGATAAGCTCTCTGAACCCAACGCAACTAAATGAAGAATGCCAATGTTACAAATTACTTGTACATTAAACTTACAATTCTTGGATAATAATGACACATGTATTCCGATGATAATCAGCATACGATCTAACTTTAGTTAGATACTGGGCTGTTAAAAGTGGAAAGCCCGACGTGATTCAAGCAGACAGCCTCCTGCTTCATAACGTAAACGATAACGTGCATCGACTTCTCATTTTATGTTTATTATCAATTACAGTGCAGTAACGAATATCATCCAGCAATTCATAAATAAAAATAATATATTTTTAATATCCCAACGAGTAGGAAATCCAATTTTCTACTCATTGGGATATTACAAATATATTATTTTTATTGATAACAGTCAACCCAATGCTCAATTTATTCGAAATTATCAAATCAAACCTTGGTAATGACATCCAGCAATTCAGTTGCACGTTTACGGATCGATAAGTCTTGTCTTACAACTAGTAACTCTATATATGTTAATTCTAATCAGCTTA